CACGGGGTTCGACTTGGAGGTTGCTCTCCTGTGTCGTTAGGAACGAGCTGGGCAGCTGCCTAGCCGCCCTCCGCCGCGGCGACGGAGAAGGTGCTCGGTGAAGAGAGTTCCCGGCGCTGAGGGAGGGTGTGAGGGGGTGCTGAGCCTCAGCCGGGGCAGGGGAGGGGGTTGGCAGTGCCTTGAGACAGCCTCTCACCTCCGCTCCCCAGTGCTGTCGGTACGGCTCCAAGTAGAGGAAGTCCAGGTCCATCTTAAGCTTGAGACCATCAGTGTGCTCAGAGTCTGAAGCTGTGAGAGGATTAAATTGCGGTGTGCCTGCACCCCCACCCACCTTGGGGGGCTGGAGGTAGGAATAAGCCCTGCTAAACCCGAGCTCTCACGGTGAGCTGCTTGTGCAGCAGACTCTGCCAGATGGAAATGCCACCTGGTAGTCAGGTTGTCATTTTTTTTATGCCTAGTAGCAGTGTCAGGGAGTTGAGTGTTGAGAGCAGCATTGCGAGTTCAGAGAGATAAGACTGTTTAGTTCTCCCTAATACCTAATGTATAAGCTTCAGAATATAAAGTGTTTTAGAATGGCAGTTGAATACAGCATGTAACAATTTTTTTTTTTGGTGGCTGGGAGCAGTGCTTCTTTCTATTGTAGTATGAACTTTTAAGCTGATTTTTAGTTTCATAACAGTATGCATTTATGGGTGTTATCTACAGAATAATGTTACATATCTTACTGTGAATTCCCTCTTTCTCTTGTCTTGAGTATAGCCCTATCTTCCCTCAAAAACCTTTTGATATTGCTAAACTTGTAATTTGTTATCTCTTTGTTACCATAAAGCTAACTATATAATTGTAAAATGTGTTTTTCTTTTGTCTGACAGCGCTTCACATGTAGTCGTCTCTCTTGTGAAAAACTATCCAAACTATCTGATTATAAATCTAGATAAGGTAAATAACTTGTTTTCCTTCATGATATGAAAACTGGTTTAAACAATTTTTAATGCAATCTACAGTGTGTTGAAATTTGTATAGGTTATTGTTATTTATTATATACCGATTTGTTCTTAGGCAAAAGAAAATAGGTGGTTTTCATGTTTACAGTCCTGTGTCCACCGCAAATAATTATTTGCAAAAAAATGAGCTTTTGAAGTTCTAAACTTTTGTTTAAGAATCTTTGCAGTTAGAATATCTTTAAGAGTTTTGGGTTTTTTAAAGCTTCATTGTGTCTGCTTGTAAAATAGTTTTTCTTTTGGAAGAAGTTTTAACTTTATTCTTGACCTTTCTTGTGATTAGGTTGGATCTGAGTTATCTTATTTACTCTGATGAAGCCCAGTTAATGTTATTCTATGGGTATGTCTCTTTAGCTCGACTACTGTGCAAGCTTGAAGAATCTTGAAACTGTCTCTGAGAAAGAAAACTACAAGTTTATCCAGGTAATACAGCCTTTTCTTCTAGCAAACTTGACTCTTTACTGACTTTTAAGCCTTCATATCAAGTTAATGTGGTCTCCAGAGCTCCCCAAACTACAAGCCATTGGTAAATTGAAAATTACTTCTAGTAATTCATCATAGAGAATGAATCAGTGTGTGTAATTGCCACATACACTGGCGTATCAGGTGAACATAACGGCATTTACTTCATGTGTTTACCTTATTAACTGACTTCATATTTCACCCATGGAAGTCTGTGACAATATGCAGTATGTTCTGTCTCTTGCATGAAGTAATCTTTGGGAAGTTGTTATATTTTATTATATAGTAAAGGTACAAAATTAGTAAAAGCCTAACTATGGAGATGAGTGGTTTTAGGGATGGTTGTTTCGCTTTTGGTAGATGGTATGGGCAAGATGGATTAATTTGGCTCCTCCATGCTGCTTCTTAGATTTTGCACCTTCAAATGCTGTCACTTGTCATATTCTGTGGTGTACAGCGTACTCCTTCTTGTTCTGTTAGCACTAGACATGAGGCTACAGTCTTGCTTATACGGTGTAGTTCATGGATGTTTGGGACAGAGTCTCATGGGAACATTCAAGGTATGCCTTGTCTTTTTAGAATTTTTCTAAGTAAATTAGTGTAGTATATCCACAGTTTTCGCTTCAGACAGAAGATAGATTTAGATTTATTGTTCAGATAAACATTCTGACAGCTGGATTTGTATGCTGAGGGTTTTAACCCTGTCTGGCAACTAAGCATCATGCTGCTTGCTCCCCGCTGATGGGATGAGGGAGGGTGCCATCACATGTGCTGAGTGTGGCATCATATGGTCTGGGATACCCCTTTGGGCAGTTGGGATCACCTGTCCCAGCTGTGTCCCCTCACAACTTCTTGTGCACTCCCAGCCTGCTTATTGGCAGGATGGGGTGAGAAGTAGAAAAGGTTTTGACACTGTGCGAACACTGCCCAGCAATAATGAAATATCCCTGAATTATCAATGCTGTTTTCAGCGCAACTTCAGACCGTAGCTCTATACCAACTGCCATGAAGAAAATTAACGCTGTCCCACTGTGGTGTTTCTGTCTAGCTGGGCTGTCGAGCTTGCAGGACATCAGAGAAATGCGTATAGTTTAATTTTCTGAAGTAGCAACTTTGGAGCAATTTTGTCAGAGGTAGTATATGTAAGTTAAATATATCTCTTATATTCAGGCAAGTCTGGGAATTGAACTTGTCCTTATGATTTTGGTGATCCCCATTGCTGTTTACATTTTTGTGAACCTATGTCTATTTCAGTAAATGATTATCTCTGAACTGTTGGGATAAAAGTTACATGAGAGGAAGGGGGATGAGTACTTAGCAAATGTGTACAGTTTCAGCGTGACTCAATAGGTGTCGTTGTAGAGACGGACACGACACAACTGAATGGTATTAGAATGGCTCAAAAATGGCTCCTTTATTACAGAAAGGGTGTGCCTTTTATACATAGTCGAAGGTACTAGAAGAAGGTAGCGTGGCCTTTGCTTATAGGTCAAACACTTGGTTTTCACATTCTAATTGGGTAACAATTAGCAGCTTCTGGCTGGGCTCATCCCCCCGGATGTTGAGGGAGAAAGTTCCGCAAACGTGTCCAAACTCAGTACACACAACTTCCCATCTTAAGGGTACACTGGGAATTTGTCAAGGTCAATGTCTTCAACCAATGCCAGGTTACCAGAAGTCCAGCTGCCGTCCCCCACAAATAGGGTTTTGGTTTTTTTTCCTGATGTTTTTGACAGTTTCCAGCATGTGAAGTCAAGTGTATTAATGCTGTAGCAGAGCTTCATGACCTGTGTGTATATTAACATTTAATTGCTGTGGACAGCAGAGACTGCTTAGAAGGCATCCTGTAAACAGCCAGATCCTTGTGTGAAGGAGAGTGACAAGGAATGCTGTAGCTATACTGCTTCTGAACTGGAGTAGGAATATATTCTCACTAAACTAGCGCCAGTGGAACTCATTCTGACTTTCCAGTGTTTTTTTTTGTTTGTTTTGTTTTTGAAAGGAGAGTTGATCCTCTCTGATGGACAAGCCCTACACCTAAAACTGCAACACTGCTGTTGACCTTAGGAGAGGGTGGGAAGGATAAATGCTCTCATGCTGCTGTAGAAAAGAAGCCTGGTTTGGCAGGTAGAGAAGTAAAGGTTTAGAAAATTTGCGCAAGGGACTTCGTGAAAGATACAGTTTTATCACAATTTCTGACATTGCTCGGCAGAGATATATTGAGTTTGAATTTAATTTTTTTTTAAAAAAAAGTCAGTAATTGTAGTTTAGTTCAAAATAATGTGTGAGCCCGAAATGTTTTTGCTGGAGTGTTTCAGTTCCGTTAAGGGATGAGAAGTAGGAAAATAAGTTCATCTTCCTCCTGTTTCTGACCTTTAGTACTTCTCTGAGGCTGTTAAGAATTGTTACTTGAGAGCTTCTTAAAACATAGGTGCATTTGAACTATTTTTAGTTAATTTCCTTGTTATTGAAAGCACAAAAGTCTTCCTCCCCAAGACACTCCTCCTTCTCAGGTGCTATGTTGTTGAAATTGAGCCAACAGATAAATATCAAAAGCTTTTTCTCAGCTTGTATTTACATTTAAAAGCTACTGTTGCTTCTGTGTCAAACTAGAGAATGGCTTACGTGTCGATGCCTGACTCTCCTCTAAATATATCAGGTGAAAAAATAAATTACCTGAATAAACAGCAAAACCCAAAATCCTTGGAAGACATCCAGTCATCTCTTTTGACAAAAATGAAAATTCACTTCACCTTTTATAATGCCACTGGGTGTCACTGTCTGTTAGTCAGACTCCAGTAACTCTTTTACTTGCTGTGGGAACTTGTCATTGCAACCTTAGCATTCCAGCTACAAAACATACTTCTGGGCGATGCTGTTCCTAATGTTAAATAATAAGATAAATCCTGAAATAAATTTCGTTGAGGCTGTTACTTGTAGTGTGTTATCTGGTCTTATTTTAGGTACAACATTCTTAACTTGCCCAAAACTCAGTTGGTAGTGCTTTTTGTATCCTGTGCTTCCTTTTGTAATGGTTTATTATGTTACACTTGATATGAATGAAACCTTACTATTTTCTATCAAAAATATGTTAATGATTTGTTTTTTTCCTGTTCAGGGAGATATTTGTGAACCTGATTTTATAAGACAGCTCTTTGAAACTGAGAAAATAGATATAGTCCTTCATTTTGCAGCCCAGACACATGTAGGTGAGCGCTGTTGCATGTTTTGTTATTTTCCACAAGTATATTTGTTTGAAATATATACTGATGTTTTTTGTCTTTTCCCTTCAAATGAAACAAGGGTACAGTTTGTCTCTGCAAACTATATGATCGCATGTCTGGTGGCCTTTTCAAGTTAAAGGGGTTCACAGCCTTAATTAAAAAAGTGCTTCATCTGACTGTTTTCTGTTTTCATTGCACATAAACGAGAATGTCTTTTTTTTTTTTTGCATTACAGTTTTAAATTCTATCTAGACACACAGTGTGTGTGTGTGACAGTGTACTGGTGGTATAGTCATGAAATGCAAAGGAAAAAGCATTTGTACACAATCTTAAGTTTTTACTTGAGTTGGCTCCAACCTTACAGGAAACAAAAACAACGCCGTGGTGTGGAAGCTGAAGGATTAGGCATAGCTTCCTTCAGAACCTTACCTGAATTCTAAAACCAGAGAGAAGGAATTACACTTAAAAGTGCCTATTTCAGATAACTGCTCTTTGGTAATGCCAGTAATGAGAACTATCCCTGCCATACTCCCTTCATCATGAGAAGAAATCCTTGAAGAATTCTCCAGGAAAGTACGTCTCAAAATTGTAAGATTTGATATGCCTGAAGTCATTAGATCAGTGGGACAATTCTAAGTACTAAAACAAGTGCTAGTTACTTAACAGTACTAGGCCTGTATTACTGCATCTTTTCTTACTGAGCTTAGCCCTTCCAGTTGGAGAGAGGAAGTAGTTATGCTGCCACATAAAGTTATGTAATGAGCTCTACTTCAAATGGACCCATCCACAGCCAACAGGCTTTTGCTTGTGATTCCAGCCTCTTGCTGAGAGCAAGGATTTTGTCTTCAAGTAAGTGTAGAAAGTGTCTTCATTTCATAATGACCTTGCTATCTGACAATCAAAGAACTAGTGGTGAAGTCCCTGTCTGTAGTGCAGCCTCTAATATTAAGTTCAATAGGAAGCCATACCTTGCCTAAATTTAATCAGAATTGTCCGGATTTTTTTTTTTTAATGTAGATCTTTCATTTTGGCGAGCCTTGGAATTCACTTATGTGAATGTTTATGGTACTAATGTGCTGGTTGCTGCTGCGCACGAAGCCAATGTGGAGAAGTTTGTTTATGTCAGTACAGATGAAGTGTACGGAGGTAGCACAGATGAGGTGAGTTTGAAAGGTCACGAGAGTTTTTCCAGATTTACTTGCTTTTCGTAGTGAAAACAAACTGAGTCTAACTTTCCTTGGCCTCTGTAAATGTATGACATTTGAGTGATTTCTGACAGTACTGGAACTCATAAACAGGCTTTAGTTGTTTTTAGAAAGCTAAGTATGAAAATTTGTCCTGAATTTTTTTTTGTAGCATGTTTTATATCAAAAGTGTACTACCTGAAGCAGTGAGATATGTGTCATTAATGACATATGAATGCTTCTCAGAGATAGTATCAAAGGAATGTATTAAACAAATTTTGCCTTGGAGCATTCATGAGACCTCAGTAATGTGCACAGTATGTTATTTTCTTATTTTTTATTCTTAAATTTTTTTTCCTGCTCTGCCTTGACTATAAACTTTACAGGCAAGGAACTAGTTTTCTACTCTAGCTAAAATACTAGCAGAACCGTAGGTACTGACAATTCAAACAGGAAATAGTTCCTTTGTTACTGGAAGAAACATGCAGATGTTTCTTGTTGTTCTGTGGCAGTCTTTTTGATTCTTGCCAATTTATGTCTGACTTTAATTCAGGAAATGTAATTTAACTCAATATAAAGACAAATTATGCATCCTTGTCTACTTGAAGGCATAAATAACGCCTAAGGAGTCTTGGGCCCTAGTCCATTCAAATATATATTTCAGAAAAGTCCCATGTACTTTATTATTGGTGCAATGTCTTTGTCAGTTCCCTCAGCACAACTTCAATCTGGAGATTTTTATGATACCCAAGGATGTTGTTTTCCTGCATGTAGACCGGTGGTTTGGCTGAGACAACTTGAAGTGAACTTTTTATGCCTCTGGGACTTGAAAAGAGCTCTTAGATTTCATCTGGTTTTTGTTCTCATTGTGAATCATAGTAGCGACTCTTGAAGAGTTTTTTGTTATTTGCTTTTTTTTTTTTAATTTTCCCTGGGGAATGAAGGTCAAAAAATAAATCCAGGTCAATTTCAGAGGCAAAGGTCGGAGAGGAACAGTGAGTATTTGGATCATGTGTTAAGGTGACTGTTACAAATTGCACCTCAGTTTGTTTAGAACCTGCCCTTTCTTTGGTTCATTTTTTTGTTGTTTTTTTTTGAGGGATTCTTTTAATTATTTTTTTTCTTGAGGGATGTGTTTTGGGTTTTTTTGTGTGGTGGATTTTTTTTTAGTTTGTTTTTTTTTGTGTGTGTGTTTGTTTATTTTTCAAGTGAAGTAGTTAGAAGTGGCAGGATAGTCATGAAGCTACCTATCTTGGAATGGGTCATAGTTGTTGTGAGCCTTACTTTTGAGAGCCTTGGGTTACAATTGTACTTTTCTTGTAGAAATGAAGTTTATAGAAAAAGGAGAATAGACCCCTTTTATTTAGGACTGAAAGGCCAATCTGTTAGTGGAGGTGGTGCAATTAGCACAGTAAAGTAATATAAGCCTGAAAAGGATTGAACCTCGTTGTGACAGCAGTGATTATTTTACAAGACAAAAATGGAAGGAGCTGTTCCTGTGAGGTTCTCTGCTGGAAGTGTAAAAAATTAAGTATATAGAAGTATAAAAACATTACTGTTGGTATTCTGGCTACCTCCTGTGCTTGAGACTGTCTTTTCTTACTGGTCTTCTGCTGTAAGCAGAAGTGTGACTTTCTCAAACTGATGTGCTTGAATAGTTAGATTTTTTTTATTTTGGTTGCTTCCTTAACTTTAGGACCTAAGTGGGTAAAAGAAATTGAGTAATGCAAGTGTTTCTTTTTGTTTCAGGAATTTGATGAATCTTCACCAAAACGTCCAACAAATCCCTACGCTTCCTCTAAAGCAGCTGCAGAGTGTTTTGTTCAATCTTACTGGGAAAGGTACCGAGTAAGTTGATGCAAGTTTCCAAAACTCTGAAGCCCATACTTAAGTGCTTGTATTACAGACACTTATATATAAATTTTATATATATATATAACGTACATAAAAGTATAGAAGAAAAGTCAGTACCAGTCCACACAATACCACTACTAGTATTGTAGTTTGGATGTGTTGAAGGATGTCTGCCACTTACTGGTGGAGATACACTGCAAGACAGTGAGGAGAGGTCAAATGCTTTATTTATTTATTTTAAAATCTGAACTGTAATGTCTAGAAATATTCTTTGATAAAATGGTCAAAGAGAATATTAGCAATTTAATAAACAGTGATAATTGAAGGAAATACATTTATACAGATGTAGTATATGCAAATTTCAAATGGTATTAAGACTACGCTTACAGTGAAAGCAAAAAAAAAAGGTTAAAAACCCCTATTACTCAGATTTGTTCAAGCAAGAATATTTCAAATTTTAATCTTTTGTTTTGTCTTAAAGTTGAAGCAAATTAGATGTTAACAACTGTGAAATGTTTCCTTGGAATAAGAAGTAATAGCCAACCTTTGGTCAACCAGATACAGTTGCAATAAAAAGTAGGTGAACTTTGTGGAATTTCATGGTGTTCTGCATTAATTTGTCATAAAATGTGCTTTAACTGTAATCTAAGTTAAGAGTATTGACAAACGTAATGTGCCTAAAATAACACAAAACCAATTCTGATCCTCCCTTTCTTTATCGAACACATTCATTCAACACTCACAATGCTAGTTGAAAAAGTGAAGCCTTGAGTTGACCTCCAAAAAGCTAACTGGAGTTGGGTTAACCTGGAGTCTTGTTAAGAAAATGAGTTTGGAGTTGTGGGCTAGAGCTATGTTGACTAATAAACGCTCGTATTTTTTGAATTTGGTCCACACATGATATATGCTTATGTGAGCCACACCTTGCCAAAAAGAGCTTTCAGAGGATCTGTGATCCAGAATTGTTGATTTACATAAAGCTCAAAAAGGTTACAAAGTGATTTCAAAGAACTTGTCTAGAAATTCACCAGTCTACAGTTAGGCAAATGATCTACAAATAGAGACAGTTTGGGACTGTGGCTGCTCTGTCAAGAGGTGGGTGTCCTGTCAAAATGACCCCAAGAGCGCAGTGAAGACTGATGAATGAGGTAAAGAAACAACCCCGAGTGACAGCCAAAGAGTTGAAGGCATCATTGGAACTGACTAACATCTGTGTTCATGAGTGTACAGCACGTAAAACGTTGCACAAGCAGGGTGTCTGTGGCAGGACACCACGAAGGAAGCCGCTGCTTACTACAGAGAACTTTGCTTCACACCTGAAGTTTGCGAAAGAGCATAGTGACACTCCACAGTGGTATTGGCAAAATGTTTTGTGAAGTGGTGAAACAAAGGTTGAACTACTTGGAAAGAACATGCAGCACTACATCTGGTGTAAAAAGGGCACTGCGTATCATCATGAAAACATCATCCCAACTGTAAGGTGTGGAGGAAACATCATGATTTGGGCCTGCTTTGCTGCATCAGGGCGTGGCCAGCTTGCAGTCATTGAGGGGAAGGGGAATTCCCAAATCTATCAAAAAATTCTTCAGGATAATGAGACAATGTCTCTAAGTCAGCTGAAACTCTGTAGACATTGGTGATGCACAGGACAATGACCCAAAGCACTGGAGCAAGTCCACAACAGAATGGCTTCAGAAAAAGCAAAATCTACTTTTTGGAGTTGCCAAGTCAGAGCCCAGACCCCAACCCAACAGAGATGCTCTGGAATGACTTGAAGAGAGCCGTACCCATGAGGTGTCCAAAGAATACAACAGAGCTAAAGTGGTGCTGCCAGGAAGAATGGGGTGAAATTCCTCCTGAACGAGTGCAGGTCTGATCCACAGCTACAGGAAGCGCCTGGCTGGGGTTATTGCTGCCACAGGGTGTCAACCAATTATCGATTCCAAGGGTTCACTTTTTCCACTAGTGTTTTGTGTGTTCAATGAGTGTGTTCAATAAAGAAAGGGAGGATCAGAATTGGTTTTGTATTATTATTTTAGGCACGCTCTATTTGTCAATACTCTTGGCTTAGATGATGGTTACATCACATTTGATGACAAATTAATGCAGAATACCATGAAATTCCAAAAGATTCACATGGTTTTTCTTGCAACTGTATGTGTGTGCGTAATGTCTGGTGGTTCCACAGAAAGGGTGAGATTACAAATGTTTGCTTCTAACAGACTGAGAAGGTGGGAGGCCCTTGCCTGTTTGACCGAAGTAAGGATAGCTAATTTGTTAATGTTTGTGAAGGCTTGTGGATTTTTGAATGAGAACTGCAGGCACATCCGTTTTTGATCAACAGGAAGCCTACAGATTTTTACTGGTGTATGTTTTATGTAATCACGTGCATGTTTAATGCTTTTAAGTTCCCAGTTGTTATCACACGGAGCAGTAATGTTTATGGACCACACCAGTATCCAGAAAAAGTAAGTTAAGCCTATGCTTTACTCTGAGCTTCAATATACCATAATTTAGGGTTGTAGTGATGTTTCTTTTTTCTTATAAGACTTTTGGGGAAAAAAAAAAAAGGCACAGTCTTGCAAGTATACTTGTCCACACTTATCTGTTATTAAATATTTTGATCTTGCACTAACATGTCTTACCATCAACACAATGAACACATTTTTTGGTTGTCAGTAAAGCATTAGTCAGAAGTTTCTAGTTATTTACATGAATTTTACTACAATGATTTTGTCTTGTAATTTTTTCAAGTTTTCAAAGGATATTTAACTGCTCTGTATCTGACAGGGTTCCCTTACAAATTATATTAATTCCACATGTCATATATTGTAATTAGAAATGTTAATAAAAAAGGTAAACATTTCAAAAATAAACTGAGAGAGCAATATGTCTGGTCTAAAGAGATGTTCTAAGCTGTATGGTAAGTAGGTGAGATGAAGCTGTTGCAGTCAGATACATGGTGATAAGGTAGTGCAAAGTGCCTTGTTCTTTGCATATGGCCGTATGTGCCCTGTGGGGTAACTGGTTAATACAGTTATTAGTAAGAGGGAATTGCCTTTGTAAGCAAGACCAAGATCTGCTGTGCTAGTGAGTGGAAATACACTGGTGGAATGATAGTGATAATCCTGTGTGCTTGTTGGAATTCAGAGCTTGAGCGAAATATTTTTGTAGTTCTAGTGAGGTGTTTTTTAAATTTGTATTGGCTTTTATGTGTTGTTTTCTTTCTTTCTGCAAATTATTTTTTTCCCTACGCTGTTACAGGTGGATAAACAATGGTTCTTAAAATGTGTTTTTCACTGATCTGTAGCTTGGAATATGTCTGGCTACAGGTTGCAGGATGTTGGGAGTATATTCAGGGGATGTATCACTATTTGTTTTCAGCTTATGTATATTTTTCCTCAAGTATCCAGTTTTAGCTACTGCTCAGAACACAGTACTAGGCTAGATGAATCTTTTAATTTTACCCAGTATGTCTGTTCTTATGTTTAGAATAGTAAGTTAACAAAATTGAAAGAGTTGGAATAGCTTTCTAATGGCTTCAGTTTAAAAACTTTTAGTAGTGGGACCAACTGTTCTGAAGTTTCTGGGACATTATGCATGGATCTAAGCTTGTAGCTGAACGTAATTCATGAACTGTAAGTCTTCTGTGCTGCAAGCTAGTGGCTATCACGTGATCCATGTTTATGTATCTTGAAATTCTATTGCTTCTCTTCAAAATCTATTTTGATGATTCTTAATTTTTGACTATATACTT